GGGCTCGGGCCCTGCGGGCGGCCACGCCTGGCGGGGAGGGGGAACTCGGGGCAGGCCTGAAGGAACGTGAGCAGACGCTGCCCCAGGAGCCCCTCCTAAAGCTGGGGGCCATTTGCAAGGACTTGCAGGTGGAGATCGACATGCCGGGCCCCCCGGGCAGGGCCCTCCCTGCGCCACCGGCCGAGCGCCCGGACCTCAGTGGGGCGGTGGCCAGGCATCCCAAGGTGGACATTTCGTTCGGGGGGCTGGAGCTGGAGGGAGCGGGGCCGGAAGGGAAGGGCAAAGCGGAGAGGAAGTTCCCAAGCCCCGAAGTCGGGACCCTGGAGGCCAAAGTGAAGCTGCCCTCGGTTGAAATTTCGGCGCCCACGCTCCCGGAGGTGACCATCGAGGCCGGCCTCCCCGCGGAGCTGCTGGCCGCCAGCGGGAAAGCGCCGGAGCCCGACGCCAAGCTGAAATCGCCCAAATTTTCTTTCCCCAAGTTCAGCATCTCCGGCCCGAAGGGGAGGCGAGGGGGCCCGGAGGCTGCAGCGGAGCTGGAGGCGGAAACCGCAGAAGCCAGCGGCAAAGGGGTGAAGCTGAAGATGCCGAAATTTGGCCTCTCGTTCTCCAGGGCGAAGGCAGGGGCGGACGCGGGCGGGGCCGGGCTCTTGGCGGAGGGGGAGGGGAAGTCTCCCAAGGGGAAGGCAGAGATCCCGGCCCCCCCTATCGAGACGGGCGCCTCTGACGGCCACGTGAAGCTGCCCTCCGTGAAAGTCCCCGCGGTCGACATCTCTGCGCCCAACGTGGGGGTGGACATCGGCCTGCCCAAGGGGAAGGGGGACGCCTGGGGAGACGGGGTCCCGCCGCCGGACATAAGCATCGAGGGCCCAGACGTGACGCTGAAGATGCCGAAATTTTCGCTGCCCAAATTTGGGGGCAAGAGCAAAGAGGAGGCACTGGAGCCGGAGCCAGAGCCCCGCAAGGGGGAAGCGAAAGGCAGAGCCGAGGCAGAGCCGGATGGGAAAGCCAAGGGCAAGGAGGCCAAGATGAAGATGCCCAAGTTCAAAATGCCCTCCGTGGGCATTGCCAAGAGAGAGGGGGAGGTGCCCGGGCCCAGCGTGGCAGCTCTGGCGCTCGCCGAGAAAGCAGCCGGGAGCCCGGAGAAGGCAAAAGGGCCCTTTGTGAAGATGCCGACGCTGCAGATCTCCTCCCCCAAGGTGGGGCTGGACACAGAAGCCCACGAGAGAGGCGCCCACAGCCCTGCCCTCGAGATGAAAGTGCCCCAGGTGGAGCTGCCGGTGTTTGGAGCCAAGGCGGAGAAGGCTGGCGTGGCGGCGGCCGAGCGACCGGACAGCCCCGGTGCCCGGCTGCGAGCGGGCCTGGTGAGGATGCCCGCGCTGGAGATCTCCGTGCCTCAGCAAGCGCCTTCCTTGCAAATCTCCGTTCCCGGGGGGGGAGCCGAGGGGGAGCCGGGCACGGGCGTCTCGGAGGGGCGCGAAGGACACGTGAAGATCCCCAAGGCGCCTTCCCTCGGCATCTCGGCGCCCGCGCTGGACCTGGACCTCCGCCTGCCCAAAGCCAGCGTGCCGGAGCCGGGCCAGCTGCCAGAGGGGGGCGCCGCCCTGGAGAAAGCAGAGAGCAAGATGAAATTGCCCCAGGTGGAGCTGCCCCGATGCAGGGCAGAGGCTTTGCTGGGGGCAGGCGTGGACAGAGAGCGGGGTGGCACCGAGGCAGAAATGCACCTTCTCCAAGGGGAAAAGCCCAAAGGGCCTTCCAGGCAGGCGTGCCGGAGCCGGGCCAGCTGCCAGAGGGGGGCGCCGCCCTGGAGAAAGCAGAGAGCAAGATGAAATTGCCCCAGGTGGAGCTGCCCCGATGCAGGGCAGAGGCTTTGCTGGGGGCAGGCGTGGACAGAGAGCGGGGTGGCACCGAGGCAGAAATGCACCTTCTCCAAGGGGAAAAGCCCAAAGGGCCTTCCAGGCAGGAGCAGAAAATAGCCCTGGAGCTGGAAGGGGACAAATCCGCCCCCGATGCCGCCGAAGGCTCCCTGCAAGGCTCCAAGTTCCGGGTGCCCAGAGTAGACATTTCCTTGTCCAGAGCCAGGCTGTCGGACGCCGAGGGGCCTCTGGCCGCGGGGGAGAGCCCCCTGCAGGGCCTGGAAGAAGCCGAGGGCAAATTTAAGCTGCCGGCGGTTGGGCTCCCTAAGCGAAAGCCGCGGAGGTGGGAATTGGCGTTGGCTTCGGCCGCGGGCGAGACGCCGCCCTGGACGCGTCCGGGCTGCAGGGGAAAATGCCCAAAGTCGAAGTGAGCGGCCCAAAGATGAAGCTGCCGAAATTCGGGGGAGCCAGTGCTGAGGACCAAGGGGAGGCCGAGAGAGACGCGGCCAAAGCCCCCCAGGTGGAGCTTAAACCCCCCAGGCTCTGGGGCAGCCCCGAGAGCCCGGGCGGCGAAGGGAGGGGGAAAGACGCCCAGCTCCAAATGCCGTCGGTGCCCATCGGTGGGCAAGGCAGAGGGGGCAGCCAGGACAGAGGACTTGGAGGGCAGGTTCAAAGTGAAGATGCCCTCGTTCGGGATTCCCAGAGCCGGGGCCGAGGCCAAGAGGGGCGAGTCCGGGACGGACACCCAGCCCCTGTGCCCCATGGCCGAGACAGTGGACTTCTCCTTTCAAGTGCCCCAGCTGGCCATCCCGGACGTGGGGTTCTCGGTGGGCCCGGGAGACGCCGGGGCGGGGAGAGAGGCCAGGGTGAGGGGCAAGGAACCAGCAGGTGCTGCAGAGGAGGGGGATGTGGGAGGGTTCGCGGCCAGGCTGAAGAGGCTGCCGTTCGGGCTCTAGAGGCCCGGGGGGGCGGAG